CGTGTTGCAAAGAGGTTAAACCGATGTGAAAATACTAATCCTATTTTGTTTTTGAAAGGTGGGGTAACCCTGTTGAGAGCAGCAGCCAAAAACCACGCTCGAGTGACGGTAGTGTGCGAGCCAGAGGACTACGCCGCTGTGTCCACAGAGATGCAGAGCTCTGACAGCAAAGACACCTCCTCAGAGACCAGGCGCCAGTTGGCCTTGAAGGTGAGAGTGCACTTTTACATGGTGCCTTGTTTGCAAAACCAAACGGTACTCAGTTCTGACTAGTTTGTATCATCCACCAGGGCCTGCTTGGGGGGAGCTGCTTCCTTTTTGTTATAAATAAAGACACCAAATATTAGAGAGAGAGTCCCTTAAAAAGATCAACAGAGAATTGGAAAGGGAATAATTCACAGTGCTGTTTAGTATTATTTGGGGTGTAGTTGACTATATGCTAAAATAAAACCATTTTGTTCCAACTGGGAAATGCTGCAGGTGAATTCACCGAAGTTCCACTTTTTGTAGGCTTTCACTCACACGGCACAATATGATGCAGCAATTTCGGATTACTTCAGGAGACAGTACAGTAAAGGAATATCTCAGATGCCCTTGCGGTACGGAATGAACCCTCATCAAACTCCGGCCCAGTTATACACACTGCAGCCCAAGCTTCCCCTCACAGGTAAAGGCTGAATGTTCGGGTGCATGGTTTGCTGTGTCCATAACTTACATTATTAGGGTTTACTTTTTGTTCTATATTCTGTGGATTTTGGTAAATGCATGTCATGTAGTCACCTTAGTAATATCACCCAGAATAGTTTCACCACCTAAAAATTCCCTACATTCCACTCCTCTCACACCTGCAACCACAGATGTTTTCACTGTCTCCATAATTTTATTGTTTCCAGAATGTTACAATGTTGGAATCATACACTATCCTGCCTTTTCGCACTGGCTTCTTTCACTCAGCAGTATGCATTAAGGTTTCTCCATGTCCTTTGGTGACTGGAGAGCTCATTTCTTATTACTAAATATATTCCATTGTATATGGATGTACCATAGTTGGTTTTTCCATTCACTTACTGAAGGACATAAAAGATGAAAGGACAATTTCTGACAGTTAGAAATATAAGCTGCTAAAAACATTCAAGTATAGGTTTTTGTGTGCCCATGTTTTCAACTCATTTGTATAAATACCTAATATTTTTGCCCGACCAGCATGTCTTAGTGGTTGAGCATCGACTTAATGAACCCGAAGTCACAGTTCAATTCCTGGTCAGGGCACAT